CAAGTATACCCATATTCCTCTCTCTCTCTCTCTATATATATATATATACATATATATATATATATATATATATATGGGAAAAGTGAATCTAAGGTGACACCCTAGGCTCCCACCTAAGGACGTGGCCTAGAATCACATCATTTCCTAAATTTTTTTTGCGATCCACTCCGTTGAACTTGATCTACACGTTCTTAAACCCAAACACACCAATTTTAGAGTGAACCCGTTGTGTTTTGACCCTTTATCCACTCGCTGCAATTTTAACGGTTTCGAATGAATAGAATTTTTTGCACGGCTCAACGAATGCTCAAAACACAACGAATTCACCCCAAAATTGGTGTATTTGGGTTTAAGAACGTGTAGATCAAGTTCAACAGAGCGGGTCGTAAAAAAATTAGGAAATGATATGATTCTAGGCCGCGTCCTTAGGTGGGAGCCTAGGTTGTCACCTTAGATTCATTTTTCCCTATATATATATATAATCGGCTAAATTATTTGATTGATAATTAAAAATTGCACCTAACAACCAAATTGGTATTAGAAGTAATTCTTGCGATGATAAGGTAATTAAACTTGCACGACGTGACAATTTGATCTAAAAATAAATTTCTCGTCGACTATTCATATAATCTGTCATGAGATGCTTATAAGGTATATTTACGATGACATGACAATTATAATTAGTCTAATTCAAACCATTAGGGGGTTATTTTTTAAATTAGTGTAAAAAAAGAGAGTTTTAATTTAGGGGCTTCTTCTCATTCTTCTATTAAATTGGGGGTTTTCCATTGCTGAAGAACATGAATTCATTGAGTTCAACCAATGAAGAACCCTCAATTTGAAGAAAGAAGGAGAAAAAGTCTCAAATAAAAAAAATCTTTTCTTTTACTCTAATTTGAAAATTCCCTTTTCTAATAGGTTCAATAAGATTAACTAAAGTTGCCACATCTTTATAAATATGTCATCTAATCATATGTGGCATGTTACCCTGAGTGGTTGCGGGAAAAATGAACATAAATTTTATTTTTGAACCTATTTGCCTCATCGTGCAAGTTTAAATGCATTACCGTCGTTGGAATTACTTTTATTACCAATCTGGTTATTAGGCGCTATTTTTAATACCAATCTGACAATTTAGCTCATATATATATATATATATATCAGCAGTATATAACAAACAATTAGTAACCAATGACACCTAGAAGGAAAAAAAATTCTAATTACCAAAATAATAACAACTTCTATCTCGTTTAGTTTCCACATCTGCTCAATATTCCACGGCCGAAAGTTCAAATAAACCTAGCGTTTACCGACCGCTGGCGCTGAGGACCTAAACCCCACTCAATCTCGCCAGCTCCCAGCCGCCTCCCTCTTAATAATCCCCAAAAAAATCAAATGGCCGCCATCTCCCTCTCTCTCTCCCTCTGCCCCCCAAAC